AGCAAGTAGCCTTTGGCTTAAGGATTTAACCCTCAATACAAACATCTTCCACGATGCCGAAGGGACCTTCCCCACATTAGATGGTTTTTCAATGTATGTCGTAGAAGTTGATCYGGCAATCAAAGGGAACAAACGGTCTTCAAACGATGTGGACGATAGTGACTCCGATTCTGATGTCGACTTTCGACGTGCAGCATATAAACTTGCCACAGGTAAAAAATCTTCCAAGAAGGACAGAACAAGCAAAGGCGGGAAGCGACCTGTTCCATTAAGATCGCCATCAGATACAGGCAAATGGTTCTTTAAGATAACTGTTGGAGAGTGGCAAAAAAAGAAAATCCTACCAACAAAAAATTGCCTAGTGCAATGCGATGAKTACACTGATTGTGATATGGTAAAGCAAAAGCTAGCCTCCGAGTTGATGGCTCATCGATTAGACATCCAACTCTACGATAGTGACTATCTTATCGAAGCGTCGCCAGGAAGAATTGGTAAGTTTTTAATTATAAATAAGTTTTAAAGCCATCTGCTTGTTTTTATATGGGATCGAAGAGCATACGAGTTTTTCATTCTTTCATATTAGATCGGTTTGCATCGAAATGGTGCGCTATTGCATCAACCAATCATAATCGACTGTTCCCACGCTGTTTTGAAGTGAGACTGGTCGGTTGGGAGGGGTATTTATTTGAGAAGCGATGTCAACCTTAAAATTTTACAAAAGTGCCTAGTTTAGGGACGGTCTATTTAACTTTTGAGGGGGGGGAGGGGGGGTGGATGATTTCTTGTGAGCAAGATTTTTTTTTCTTCGTGGCTTTTGGGTAGGATATATATTTTTTCTCTTGGTGGTGTGTAGGAATGTTTTTTTTCTTGTATGTAGTATGTAGCATTTTTTTTGGCTTAGGGTGGTGCAAGATTTTTTTTTCAGGTCCACATGTTGTGCACGATTTTTTTTTGGTGAAGATGGCTTGCAGGAATTTTTTTTCAACAATAGATCTCTTAGTTCCAAACACTAAATATTCACTATCATGATGATGCTGGTGTCCATGCAGTGAAAGCTCAAGAGAAATTAAAACAACATCCACTCAAGGGCGCTAGAACTGAAATTATGACCTATAAGATCCAAAAATTGCTTAATTTATCCAACATAAGATAGTCGATAATAAATTGTAAAGTTTTACTTATCTGAAATATACACTGAAATGTCCTCTTAGACACTAAAAAGCACTTGATTTTACGAAATTCATCCAAATGATCGTTACTCAAGCGGTTGTTGCTGAATTTATTACCGCTGTCCTTGTTGTACCAGCCACTGCTGTCTCGCCAGGAACGTTATTCATTAACCGGATTAAAATCACTTTGCCCTGGCCGAACACCAAAAGAGACAGGGGCAGGCAATAACTAGCGGCCCCTTTGACCACTCGTCTGACTCACTAATCGGATTAAGTTGACAGGACCTAGGGACACTGATGACAGATTAGTYCTGGCCGAGCGAGTCTTCGTAGGCCCGAAATAGTAAATACGCTACCGTCGCGATGTTTTATAACTCGTCGGTTTTCGAATCGAAWGTCATTTAAAAGTTGAGYGAAGCGCTCGTCAATAATTTTTGTTACATATGAAACTAAGATGTGAGTGTGTTGAATTCGTGTTTAAAAACGTTGAATTGAGAAATAGAAACAGTACATTTTTTGTTAAGCAGCATTATATTCAAAGTGTCATCAGTCGCATAAACTTGTTTGTGAGCGGTGCTTTACGACTAACATTTAGCTTTCATTTCGGTTTCTTCCAAATGGAGTTGAACTTAGATTTCGGCCAGGCACTTTGTCCATTTAAATGGCGATAGTTTTGACCATCCTCAAGACGAGAGCGTTTTAGTTCAAATCCCGAACTCTGACGAGGTCACATTCGGGCCAACGAAGACTCGCTCGGCCAGGACTAATCTGTCATCAGTGTCCCTAGGTCCTGTCAACTTAATCCGATTAGTGAGTCAGACGAGTGGTCAAAGGGGCCGCTAGTTATTGCCTGCCCCTGTCTCTTTTGGTGTTCAGCCAGGGCAAAGTGATTTTAATCCGGTTAATGAATAACGTTCCTGGCGAGACAGCAGTGGCTGGTACAACAAGGACAGCGGTAATAAATTCAGCAACAACCGCTTGAGTAAACGATCATTTGGATGAATTTCGTAAAATCAAGTGCTTTTTATTGTCTAAGAGGACATTTCAGTGTATATTTCAGATAAGTAAAACTTTACAATTTATTATCGACTATCTTATGTTGGATAAATTAAGCAATTTTTGGATCTTATAGGTCATAATTTCAGTTCTAGCGCCCTTGATCCACTGTAGTGTAGTGTATTGTCTATATCTTCTCATCATTTATTTTCTGTTTAACTATAAATTTATTGCCTGTGTTCAATATAAACTTACAAATTATAACGAAAACAAATCATACTCTTTTGAAATTAAATCTTGGGCTCTATTGTTCATGAAAATGTTTTATATATTTTTTTCAAATAAACATGTACTGGTCACTTGAGTTACTTTTGTAATGGATTGATACAATATTTTAATTTTTGCTGCAAATGTAATTTATGCAATAAGATTATAGGATTCAAAAACTGTCTTAGAAGTTCAGCCGTTATGAGAATCAAAAATAAATAATCATTTGATGATCTGTATGACCTGCTGTAGATCACATGGTAGACATGCAAATGTAAATGTTGAGTTTGTAGCAATAAAAAAAACATGGCAAGTTCGTTGATTGTCTTTAAAATTGCCAGCCTTCTTATATTACTTAATCAGTTATGATGAAAGGAGTTTCTGGACATTCACACAAACAATAACTTAGAGTGGTTTGGAAACTGTMCTTTTTCTCCGAAGACTATGGGAAATTATATAATAATATTATTTTGTAGTTGCCCACCTTTGTTCGTCCATAATTCTTCTTATTGATGATTTCTTTATGTTTATAGCAAGTTTGAGGCTCTGTCAACATATCAGGCCATGAACACGAACGAATAGGCGTTACTGACAACTGTACGTAAGGGCTTGGAAACTAGTTTCCATTCCCGAACTTGTGTTACGCATTTTCAGAATTTTTCCCTGTATTTGCCATACGGTATGTGCCGCTCGATAGAATCCCTTTTCGGAGCTCTAAGTCTGGACAGTCTGCATGCTGGGATAGGGTATAATTTTTGACCATTTATTTGTCTGTGTTGGGGTACAAGTTTTGTCTGGGATAGGGTAGTTTTTTTCGTCTAGGCATAGTTATTAACTGTGGTCTAGGATAGGGTATAGTCTTATTGTCTGGGGTAGGGTAGAGGGATTCAGGGTAAATGCCTGACTTCAAGTGAGATATTATTTCTATTTTCTAATTTTCCGGATATCAAGTATTTTTGTTTTATATTATTGGTTGAAGACTGCTATATAAACCGTTTGCACGTACGTCATGGAAAAATAATTTTTTCCGTAAAATTAGTTATAACAAAAATTCAAGTAATCCATGTGAAARAGCGCGTAAAACTCTGTATCCCTGAGAACTTTTTCGCCGAAAGGGGTTTTATTTGCCAAGATATAAGCATTTTTATACGCTATTTTTTTAGAAGGAAATCGGCATGGCGAGGTCTAGCCTCCTCCGCAGGCATCACTAAGAATCACGGGCTTCCTTTCTTTTTGAGGAGTCAAAAGAGGGAGAATGGGGGCGAGAAAAACTAGTCCCTGCGGAGGAGGCTAGGCGAGGTCATGTTTATACGCTTCCACGGCACCAACATTTTCAGAGAGTTTTAGAATCAAAGATACAATTTCGGTACTTTCACATAATAGAAGTATTACAATTCTGTAATTCTGTGAAATTTTGAATCGAACCGAGCTTTTGTTGCAAGTTTATAATCAATTTTATATGCCGATCTTTACAAAGAAATGTAGGGCGTCACGGAACTGGTGGACCGCTGAAGTACGGGTCCACCAGAAATGGCGGCTAACTGTTACGCTTTCAGCTCGTGCTTCTTCACATTTTCTCGTGTGTTTCAAATACCAAGCGTGCGTTTATCAGAGTATAAACCACGGCTGAGCCTTATTTATTTGTTCAATAAACAACGCGATCGACGCGAGCTGTATGTGAATTTTGTGTTCCCATAATCACGCGATGCAACGGGCAGGTGCGAGGATATTGCGTCAGACCGGATGGTCATGATCTCTGCCAGCCCTACCAGCTCCACCAGGAAGGTCTCCAGACTAGTGCATGTTATATTAAATGTACGTAATAATCTCGTGAACACGGGATGTTAAGTATTGTTATCATTTCTTCGAAAGTCCTCTAGACACGTAAACATGCAATTACCATCACTTCTCATTTATTCCAAGTAAGTCTACATGACTTCAAGGACAGACTCTGGTCTCAGCTCAATTAAAACTGCCGCTGACTGAAATCATTTTTATTTTATTTTTATCTAACTGCACTTCACTCGCACAACTTCATGTTTTTATTTTTACATATTTTGTAAATAGCAATTGCAGTTTTAGCAAAACTAACTGGTCTTATCAAACATAAGGATATAACCTGAAACATACAACATGTAGCTAAATTTGCTGTTGTTAAAGTGACATATACAATCATGTTTTACAATAGACAGGGTTCGTACAGTCTTGAAAAGTCCTTGATTTTTGACGAAAGTCCTTGTAAAGTCCTTAAACTGGAATATTCCTTGAAAAGTCCTTGAATTTGGAGAAAAGTCCTTGAAAATTATTATTTAGTCCTTGAATAATACTTCCTTTTATAAAACAATGCTTAATTTTCAATGTTTTTAAAATATTTACGAATTTTGTAGAAAAATATTGCTTCATTAACAACTAAATTGATCGCAAAAGAGCTGACTTTCGGAAATTTGAATATTTTAATTGTTTCGGGATACCTGTTTTCCTAAATTGGTCGAGCGTGATCTGGGTAGAAAAGCACATGCTCGGAAATCGGATGACGAGATAGAGATTCAAAGTGTGTTGTGTTATGTAAATTGTCCCTTTAAAACAAAGGATTTCTTTGACAATGGGCAAAAATAAGTGCCTTTTCAATATTAAGTGGAAAAGTAAGTTCAGCTGGGTTAAAGAAATGAAAGGTAATTCGTCAAAAGCTCGATGTAATTCTTGTAACAAAGTCATCGACATTGGGGTGATGGGAGAAAGCGCACTAAGATCTCATGAGAAGAGCGAAAAGCATAAAGTAAACAGCTCAAATATACAACAAAGTCCGTTTTTTGTATCAAGACCATTTKTTGAAGATRAACATCGAAAAATAAGCGCTCAAGATGACTCAGCAACTGTTAACGAAGCCGAAACTAGTGTTAATAATTTTACAGTCCCAGCACCGCCTGTTGACAAAGCTCAACCCCAAGYACGTGGATCTATGAGGGCTTATACCAATACTGATGAAGTTCTCAAGTCGGAAATATTATGGACTTTGCATTCAATAGCTGCTCATACATCGTTTAAATCAAATGAAGAAGTGGGTAAAATTCTACAGGCTATGTTTCCAGACAGTGTTATTGCTTCAAAATTCACCTGTGGTGAAAAAAAGACAGCCTACATGTGTGTGTTTGGGTTAGCTGAACACTTTTCACGCCTTCTCAAGGATGATGTGAAAGGTTCTTTTACTGTTTTGTTTGATGAAAGCCTTAATAAGAAAACTCAAGAGCAACAAATGGACATTCATGTTCGATATTGGAAAAGCAATCAAGTTGTATCTCGTTACTTTGGATCAGAGTTTCTGGGTAAGTGTTTATCAATTATGTGGAGCCTGTTAGGGTCTTACATAGAAAATGTTTATTGTACTTCCATAATTACCATTGTGAGAAATTCTGTTTGATAGCTTTTCTGTTGTAATATTGCAACAATTATCTATATCTATGGCGATTTGGTTCTATGATAGGAACAAAGGGCCTCAAAACTCAAACCTTTTTTTAATGTCTTTGGATTTATTCATTTTCAGGTCACACAACTGCTGAGGATATGCTGAAACATTTTTCAGGTGGAGTTTTAGAAAGTGGCTTGCCCATTAAAAACTTGGCTCAAATTAGTATGGATGGACCCAATGTGAACTGGAAATTTTACAAAATGGTGAAGAACAAACTGTCAGATGAATTTGATACTGGATTGATAAATATTGGTTCTTGTGGGTTACATATTATACATAATAGTTTTAAGGCTGGTGCTGTTGCCTCTGGGTGGGATATTTCCACTCTGTTGTTAAGTCTCTACAGACTCTTCAAAGACTCGCCAGCCAGAAGGGATGACTACATGAATGTTTCCAGCTCAATGGAAAACAATTTAATGCCATTAAAGTTCTGTAGCCATCGTTGGCTAGAAAATATGCCTGTGTGTGAAAGAGCCCTAAATGTATGGGACAGGGTTGAGGCATTTGTTAAAGCTGTCAAAGAGAAATCTATCAAAAATCCATCCAACAAGTCCTTTGAAACAGTNAGCGCGTAAAACTCTGTATCCCTGAGAACTTTTTCGCCGAAAGGGGTTTTATTTGCCAAGATATAAGCATTTTTATACGCTATTTTTTTAGAAGGAAATCGGCATGGCGAGGTCTAGCCTCCTCCGCAGGCATCACTAAGAATCACGGGCTTCCTTTCTTTTTGAGGAGTCAAAAGAGGGAGAATGGGGGCGAGAAAAACTAGTCCCTGCGGAGGAGGCTAGGCGAGGTCATGTTTATACGCTTCCACGGCACCAACATTTTCAGAGAGTTTTAGAATCAAAGATACAATTTCGGTACTTTCACATAATAGAAGTATTACAATTCTGTAATTCTGTGAAATTTTGAATCGAACCGAGCTTTTGTTGCAAGTTTATAATCAATTTTATATGCCGATCTTTACAAAGAAATGTAGGGCGTCACGGAACTGGTGGACCGCTGAAGTACGGGTCCACCAGAAATGGCGGCTAACTGTTACGCTTTCAGCTCGTGCTTCTTCACATTTTCTCGTGTGTTTCAAATACCAAGCGTGCGTTTATCAGAGTATAAACCACGGCTGAGCCTTATTTATTTGTTCAATAAACAACGCGATCGACGCGAGCTGTATGTGAATTTTGTGTTCCCATAATCACGCGATGCAACGGGCAGGTGCGAGGATATTGCGTCAGACCGGATGGTCATGATCTCTGCCAGCCCTACCAGCTCCACCAGGAAGGTCTCCAGACTAGTGCATGTTATATTAAATGTACGTAATAATCTCGTGAACACGGGATGTTAAGTATTGTTATCATTTCTTCGAAAGTCCTCTAGACACGTAAACATGCAATTACCATCACTTCTCATTTATTCCAAGTAAGTCTACATGACTTCAAGGACAGACTCTGGTCTCAGCTCAATTAAAACTGCCGCTGACTGAAATCATTTTTATTTTATTTTTATCTAACTGCACTTCACTCGCACAACTTCATGTTTTTATTTTTACATATTTTGTAAATAGCAATTGCAGTTTTAGCAAAACTAACTGGTCTTATCAAACATAAGGATATAACCTGAAACATACAACATGTAGCTAAATTTGCTGTTGTTAAAGTGACATATACAATCATGTTTTACAATAGAATTCAAAGGATTTTCAAAAAGTACAAAAAAACTAAMTTATACTGTCGTATAATCTATTTGTGAGCTTAATATAATTCTTAAGCCCTTCTTTAAATGGTTTTGGATTACCATTAACAGTGTGAGAGAAAATGGTAGATATGCAGTTCTCATTGCAAAATAGGGACTCTCGCCTTCTTTGCATTAAAGGACTAGACTCTAACAGATCCTTGCCAACAAGGAAGTTTCGAGTAAGAATGCCACCTTCTCTCTCATACAATGAAACAGCATCTTCTGTGGAAGGCACAATAATATTAGGCAACGGGTTGAGGTGGTTGGTTTCTAATCTCTTTAGAGCAGGAATGCCATGTCCTTTTCTCCCTATATTGATGTAAAAGAATGTTATTAAATGTGAGATTATGACTTTCTTTAGAAAAGTAATGCCTTCRTTTCTCAACTTTCACAATAATTTCACTATTGCATAAATTATGTCCAACTAAATAATAGTGTTCATTTAATGCTTAGGATTATGGTCACTAGAGGGGGACAGAATGTCTGACACCAAAGGCAGAGAAAAACAATTGATAAACCTTCAAAAAAAGAACACTTTAAACATAGAACAGCAATCATTGACACAACACATTTGAAAACTAGACATTTAGAAGTTATCAAAATAGTTTTAGAAAAATTGGAAAATACAGTTTGGTCCAAATTCCTATTGTTTTGTTGGATTCTATTACATGTAAAAATACCTTGGAATTGTCAGTACGGGAAGTATCTGCTGGGTTGGGTGAAGAGGTAGGGGGCGTCCACACAATACGGAGATGCAAAATGCAAAATTGCTACCATAATGTCAAATGTAAACTTTGGTGTCACAAGCTACAGTTGACTCTCTTATGAGAGAGGTTTTTTCAATTTAGCAAATTTAAAAGTGTGACTCACATATGACATTGATCTTTAGCATAATTAACATTATCAAAACATAATGAGATGCAATCTTGCAGACACATCAAAAATTACCTTGAATTCTATGATGGTTCCATGATTGTACAAATCGATGCATTCCCTCATCAGCAACTTTGCATGTGTATTGAGAAATGCAATATTTCATAGCATCATCAGTCATGTCAATGACTTCTCTTTCCTCCAAATCAACAAGAATGTTCTTTATAGGATAGTTGATCCTACAGTTAACTTCAGGCCAGATCCTTTCTATAGTGTAATTATCAGTAGATGCTGTTTTTATGTGGGCTGGTCTATCCTGGCTGTATCTGTGGCCTGCTAAAAGCTCTTGAASAAATAAAAGTAGCACCCACTCTTTTCCTTCATCTACTCTTATCTGATCAAATATTCCTGTTTTAGTGAGCACAGGTCTGTTGATTGATGCACAAAAAAGCAATAGTTATTACAAGTGTACAATAATATTAATAATAAAAGTGCTCWATACATGTAACACATAATAATTGTAATAATAATCATCAAGAAGCATTAAAAAATCTTACTTTATGAATAAATTTTTCATTGCAGGCAGAACTTTCAAATCAATATAGGAAGTAAGGGAGAAAATATATGACAGGAGGATTTTTAGAGGGGCTCACAAGGTGCCCATAATGTCAAATGAAGAATTTTAAGCAACAAAAAGAGGAATATAAACTTAGATGATGAACATGTAGTATGGAACTTTTGACACTATTTTTATACAAAAATGTTTTCCCCTTTTCTCCACAACTTTTCACATATAAAACAATACACTGCTAGGACATATTGTAGAAATTGATGGGACATCATAGCCAGAATTTTCTTTTTGTATAAGCACCTTCTATATTGATGAATCGTGGACATGCACAAATTCTGAATGTACCATATTTCATCAGTTAACAATACTACACATCATGCATGCTAACTACAAGCTTTTTTAAAATACTTAATGGTATACCTATAAAGATGTTCATATATCTGAATAAGATTCTTAGAGGGCCATGTCATAAAGTTCTCTATGAAACCACTGCATCCATCCCTAAGTACCATATGAACCACTCCATATCTGACCAACTTTTCATTTTGATCTATATGCCCCTTTCTACCAAAGTAAGGAGCAAAGTATGGTTTTCTATTTGTCTTGTCCAGAAATGCAGCAGGGTCTGCTTCTCTCATAATATTGTTGATTTTTCGTACAGACACATTTACACCCATGGACCGTAAATAGCCTTGAAGGGTCCCACCTCCATATGAACTTCCAACCTGAAATATTCATATTGGAAAATACATCAGTCAAAACTGATTCAAAACTGCATGTAGTCCCTATATAACTGAGTCTCTTTATTTCATTCAATTAGACAAGGATATCTAAGGTTATTTAGAATCTTTTTACACAATTTAAGCTTATTCCTTGTTTAATAAAATCAAAATTAAGCTTATAATGAATTCATTAAAGTCATCACCTATTTYAAGTAAAAAATTCACCTAAAATAAGTGGTTTGCACTTAAATTCTTGTCCATGGGGTAAGTGGCATGTGCACTTATATCTAGGGCTGAGTAAGACTGAAAACAAGGAACAACCCCTAAAATCAAGTTCAGTGCCCTTAAATTGAGTTGTAACTTTGTGTTGTGACAGAACACTTAAAATGAGGGATTGTAAAAAGTWATCACCTATTTTAAGTATAAATTTACTGAAAATTAGTGGTTTGCACTTTTAAGTGCATTTAAAAATGCTTGTCCATGGGGTAAGTGGCATCTGCACTTACATCTAGGGCTTTATTAACACTGAAAACAAGMAACAACTACTAAAATCAAGTTCTGTGCCCATTGAGTTGACACTTTTTGTTGCAACAGAACACTTAAAATGAGTGATACAAACTTACTTTAAGTATAGAATATACTAAAAAAACAGTGACATACCAAACTTAATTTTAAGGGTACACAAGCACTGGAAACAAAAGCAGAGTGCTTAAAACTAGTTGCGTGCACTTAAATTGAGGTAACTTCCTAAACTGGCAGCAATAAATCAGTTCTATATCAGATGTAAAGAACTGATGTTCAGCCAACAATTGTAGTAAAGATCTCAGTTTTAATATTGCATCATACACCTTTGCTAGAGGTTTTAAATCAATTTGAACAACTGCAAAGTGCAGACATCACTTCAGCATAAACTAGCTGTTCTTCCATGTGGGATTAAAATTCTTTCCATTGTAACACAATGCACATGCTCATTAGAAGTTTAATATGCATTATCACTGTTTTCACATAAATTTTTTCATGTTCTCATTCTATAAACAACACATTAATTATACTCTGTTCMACTCACAATATTGTCCTACAATTTGCATACAAAAGAAGCTCATCAAAGTTTTAGTGCATCTCTTGCTTATCTTAAGAGTGTTTCTGAAATATCACACTTAAAACTGGTAACACTGCCTGATCCATGCACTAAACTATAGGTTATTGCACTCAAATAGAGTCGTTACCTATGGATATTACTTAAATCGAGTATTGGACTTGAATATCACACCTAAAACTAGTTTACAGCTAAATCCATGCACTAGATTATAGCTGAATGCACTCAAATTGAGTCGTTACTCATGTATATTTACTTAAATCGAGTGAGTGACTGGAATATTGCACTTAAAACTTGTTTACAGCTAGATCAATGCACTAGATTATAGGTGAATGCACTCAAATTCAGTTGTTACTTATGGATATTACTTACTAGTGAGTGACTGGAGTATTGCACGTAAAACTAGCAGGTACAGATTCTGTGCATTTTTTTAAGTAAGTGCCAATGACTTATTGCAAGTGTTAAACCATTAAAACCATGTCTTCACTGCTTAATTCAAGGCAGTATTGTTCATCCATGCACTTATATTTAGTGGTACATGCAATTACATTACTMTTTTTTAGTGTGCTGTCACTTATCTTAAGTAACTCAGCCTAAATAAGAGGCATCTCTAACTTATTGCAAGGGATCTTGGGAAATATCTTAATTCAAGTGATCACTTTTTACAGTGAATATAATAATAAAAACACAAGTACAAAAACTGCTAAATTCTGAGTGCAGAACGGTCAAGCCCTGTTTGGACCTATATCAAACAGTAATCTGTGTGTGACTCTTATTCCTTTTCATCTGTCAAAACTAGTTTCGAGGCTTTTATTTAACTTACTTTTAAATGAATTAAGTTAAAATGATTGTTTTAGAACAAGATGCGTCTCGAGGTCCAATGAACGTCAAATGTCAATAGTCGTTAGTTTTGGGCTCGCACATTGTAAGAATCGATGTTGTTTATCAGTGCTATTGTTGTAGATATATCTCATTTAAAGGATGATCACACGATGAAAAATAAGATTTTTGCGCGAAAAACCTCTATGAGTTTTGAATTYTAGCGGGAATTTGGTGCCATTCATAATGCTTATCAAAGCGAAAAAGAGTGTTCTCCCTCTCAAGGTTCTTTGCAGTAGCGTGATTACAGAAAGAAGAGCTAAGGAACTTGATGTTGCATTTATGATCGACGTTATTAACACCGACTCGTGCCCTGAGTACAATGGATATAACACGATGATAACAAGAGACGAAGGAGTGTTATTGAAACCGAAGACACAGGCTGTATACCTACCACTTAGAGACATGACTCCATCTGATCCTGACACAATCATGACGGCCCTCCACGAAACAAAGCGGCTAACAAAGGAACGAGACCAGAAAAATACTATCTTTACAAGTGACCAACAACTATACAAAGTTGCTGTTGATGTCAAATGGGCATATCCTGATGAATTCTCAGATGTTATTTTGCGTCTCGGAGGGATGCACATGATAATGAGTTTTGTTTCTGCTGTCGGAACACTGATGAAAGGGACTGGACTCTCTGAGGTGTTAGAATCAACGTTTGCTGGAGTAACAAAAATGCTCTCTGGAAAGAAATTTCCACAGAATGTTAGAGCAATGAGGCTTGTCGTTGAGGAAATACTGAGGAGTACCATACAGAATAATAACATCGGATCCATGGAAGATCTATTAGCAAGACTTAAAAGATCTGCTGGTGCAAGCAAGACGTCAAAGCTGTGGGTCGATTGCTTTATAAAGCCAATGTTTATAATGATGATGTATGTGCGGGCMGAAAGAGAAGKGGACTGGCCACTGCATTTGGTGGCTGTGAAACAAATGCTTCCATATTTCTTTGCATCGGCACATGTCAACTATGMCCGTTACGGATTATACTATCTACGTTCCATGGAATCCTTGGGTAATGAAGAAGTTTTAAAGTTCATGAAGGGAGAGCATACAATGCATCATGTTACAGGTATATGGTATTACATAGATTCTTGTACTGTTGTTATACAATAATACAATAATTATTATTTATATTTTTGCCCCTGCAACTGGTGCTTCAGTTGTAGTTGTTATACACATAACCTTTTTTATAATTATTGTTTTCATTATTGTTRGGGATTTGGAACGGGATATGGAGCGATATGTTCATCGAGACAACGTTTATGCGCTACGGGCATGRTCCCAGTGGTATAATTGGTATTACACTAAAGCCCGAAACCCTCAAAACATGGGCCCTTGGCCTCCACATCTGTTCTAGGYTAGAGCAAGACATTGCTGATATCGCCGAAAATGGACATCGAGTTACCAGCCAAKTGACTCATAAAGRGGAGATGGCAGCCCGCATCGCATCAGATGGTGCAGATCGAGAGACCATCAAGAAAAAGCTTGAGTTGTGTATAGATCCACTTGATGCTGCATCCCATCCCCCGAATGTTGTAAACATTGTGAGCGGAAAAGTAGCTGACAGCAGTGTAAATGTGCAGGAGGCAGTAGCAATTGGCAAAACGATGATGAAGGAGTTTGAGTCAAAGTGGCCAGAAGGGTTCCGGAACACCATCTCAAAGAGAGTTATAACTGTATCAGATGGCAAGAAACACATCAAAGTTGGTTCTCAAAAGGTCTATGACAATACTGTAATTTATAGTAGAGTTATTGGAGTTCAAGCAAGCTCGAGGGAAATTGACCTGAAGAACATCCTTGGCTACGAACTTGCCCCAGTGCCCACGTCAATGTTCCTCGACAGTGGGGAGATGAGAATTTGTAAGTCTAAATCTGACTTGAAAAACAAAATGGCAATCAGTTCTTCAGCCAGTTGATGGCTCTGCTGTCTTGTGGGTTGTACATTGGTCTGCAAAAGGAATCGTCAGTGACTTTGTTGATAATTTCAAGAGATATTTAGCAACAAAGCTTGTTGAAGCAGATGTATACTTGATCTTCGACAGATATGAAGAGTACAGCACGAAGAGTGTTACAAGAGATGGAAGAAAGTGTGAAGCAAGCAGGGTTTATCAGCTTTCACCAAATACACCCCTTCCATCCCAAAAGGCTGTGTTGACCGTGTCTGAAAACAAGAAACAGCTCATGGAAATAATCTGCATCAGTCTGGTTGAAGATACGGCGTTTCATAATCAGCATACAACTACACACAAACTCGTGATAACTGGTAATGATATTCCAAAAGAAGTCCACCTGGGTGTTGTTATTGAAAGGAGAGATATTGCCACATCGCACGAGGAGGCAGACAACATCATTGCACAGCAGGCCTTGATGTGTGCAAAACAGCATAGAAGTACTACAATTGTCATTGCTGATGATACTGATGTATTTGTTCTTCTGCTATATCATTACCACAATGAGCGCATGACATCTCCTATGTTAATGACATCACCGATTCAGCAAAGGACTGACATACAAGCAACGGTAGAAGAATACCAAGCCATCATACCTGGCTTACTAGGAGCACATGCAATTTCTGGCTGTGATACCGTGGCAACATATTTCGGCATTGGTAAAGGAACTGTTCTGAAAAATCTAATTGCCACTCCTGATGCTGTGAACAAGCTGGGCTGTCTTGATTTGCCATTATCAGACGTCATTGATCAAGCAACGAAGTTCATTGGTGCCTGCTACAACTTCAAAGACATCAGCAACGG